AATACAGTGAGTGGAAGGCCCTTTACAACTGGCCATCGATCTTATATGTTCGCAGGAATGCCCATAGACTGGTGCGCGGGATCCGGTCATAGGCTTTTTAGGTTAAAAGGGCAAGTACACCAGCTGGGCCAACGCCTACTTTCTCAACAATCTGGCGCAGGGCGAATATATGGTCAGAGGTGCTTCGACTGGGCCGGAACCCATATGTTTTTAATTTATTTTAACCGTAAATCAAAATGGAATATATACTTTATTTTAATGAAGTACATACTCAATTTTAATTCAGACTAGTGGCTCGTTACGCTTGAAACTGGTTTGCAAGATGCCCAACCTAACCTTGCACTAATTTATTTAATGCTGCTGCCCTGTTCTATAATGTTCGTCACTTGTCATTAGCGTTGATAGTATGTCTCCAGAACGGCATTTTGAGGTCGACCTTCAATGTTCAGACCTGTGGTTAAGAAGAGGAACGCTACATATTCCTTGCCTTACCTGTTCCAGCAGCAATTAGATGACTTCTGACATGACCACATGGAATGATCTATTCCATAGCTTACATTATAACAACTCTGAACCTCCTTCAAGTGTAAAATCTGCAAGCCTATGTATGTAGTACTTATTTAGGTGCATATTTGGAAACTTTACCTGAAGAATTCTCTAGAATTTAAAAGCGATGGATCCTAAGGCAACTGAGGAGGGTTAGTGTAATTTGTCGTAACTTCGGCAGGTATAATAAAGACTCTTGCAACTTTTTCTAAATGAAGCGGCGTTTAATTCCAAAGCACCTCATTATGTTGTTTTGAGGGGAATATTATCAAGTCCCTAATGCAAGTAGAAATATTCGATTTCCCCAGATTAAGAAATTTTTCCGGTTATTAATGTCCGGGGTAGAGACAGTCCATAAGCCGAGTTTCGGCTACGACTGCTGATCATTTGCGGATAATCATAGCCGGGGCTGTGCCGACTAGCAGAGACGTCACACCTTGCGTATAGTGCAGTATGGCTGCCGTTACCCGTTTCCTTTCTTTGGCCTTTCGTTGAGATGACTGGCCGACGGTCATCCGCGGAAAATCAAAACGGTCCTGTGACTCGTTGTCGCATGGTCAGTCGACCTTCATACACTCGATCAGTCAACGAAGTGGCAGTTCAGTGTTACGTCGCGACGGTGGCCCTTATTTACTCCCGACGAATGGTTAAACCGTCCTTGGTCTCGCGGCTTGACGGCTAATTGACACTTGACATTGTCATGTCTACATGTGCGTAGGTCAGTGCTCGTTCGGACGGTGGTTTTCGCCGGCTGGGAATCTGATCGGTTGAGACCGTGAATGGCAACGCTTCAGATTCGAGTGTTTGATTTATGCGTTGTCACGTGGTTGTGTCTAATTGTGCTGATTTGGTTTTTTTCCTTATAGTCATCAGCAGTTTGGACTCGTTGAATGAGCAGATCGAAGAGTTTCAACAAACACACCGCTGGCCCGTGCAACAGTCATCAAACGATGCCGCATTAGCCGCCTCCATCGCCTCTGCACACCGTCGTTGCTCCTCGTCTCTGATCGACAAATCCGACGTCGTGTTTATCCAGAACCTGTTGATGAGCACCCGAAAGCAGTGCACCCGAATGGTGAGCGCCAATCAGTAAGCGTCTAAGTAAACGTAGCTAATCCGACGCAGCAGCTGGCTGGCTGCAACGACGC